TCTCCATTCCACACATTTGTACATTTCCTGATATTCCACAATTTCCTTGGCAGAAATGAAGGAGTTTTACTACACAAAGAGTTAGTTATATAAAACTATATATATATAAAACACAGAGTGGGGATCTATAGAGGTAAGTAAGGATTCTCTAAATACACCTGGCACCCTTAAATCTTTGTAGTACAAAATAATATATAATGATTAGCAGTCACATTTTGTTCAGTGATTGTCACTGTGCATAAATGAAGTGAATTAGGAAATTTTGATTCTCCTCCTTACAATGAATGTAACAGGGATAATGAGGCAATCTCTAATCTAATGGTCTAGCGTTAAATGCCCCCCCCCCCCACCACAATCCAAAAACATACATAGGGTAACTGGTATGGCTAATTTTACCCACTCAGGAAATTTCATCATTCATCATGGGGACCCTGGAATAGGGTGCTGTACTGTATATCTTCAGATGGTGCCTGATCCCACCAAAGGGTCAAATCCTAAAGCCACCCCTGGTGCAAACTCTTTCTGTTAGCCTTTCTGTTGCAGCTATTTGTGTGGGATTTCCAGCTTCAGGCTGCACTAAATGCAATGTGAGAGCGCTGCTCGGGTAGCTCTCAAGCATCCGTTTCCAAATCTAATTGTGCAGGGCTGCCTATCCGGCTCCTTCAGACAAACACGTATCGAATCGCACATTTAGCTGCTAAAAATACATGCTGCATCCTCACGTCGACCTGTGTACCTCGCAGGATGTGGCTCCCCTCAAACGTCATTCTTTCCACATTATCTGGTTTAGCTGCACCAATACAAAGTATAAATTTGCAGCAGAATAAAAACAGCGTAACTAAGCTCTACTCCAAAAAGTCCCTCTTCTTCTTCTTCTTTTTTGAAGGGTCGCCAACTCTCACGCATGTGGCGTGACTCTCACGCTTTCAGACTCTCATGCTCAGGCAAGAAATATTATTTCTTGCCTTATTTATTATTTAAATCTACATATTATTCCATTAAAAAATTAGCTACATCAAAAGCGTTGGGCAGTTTGCAAACCCTACAGACTATTTATGAGGGATTAAAACTCATGTGTGCGTGCATGGGTGTGCACACGTGTCTCGAACTAAAAATTTCACTCCAGCCAGCTGACCACAGCCGGCATACCTGTCTTTGCTTCATAACTGAGTCTCAACTTCAAATGTTAAGACCACTAAACTGCAAATAACTGCCCCCTCTCCAGTTTCAAGGACACCCCCCCCCCCCCCCCAGTTACACCGATGCTCCCTGATATCGCCAACTTGTGACGGAGAATGAAAGCCATCTATCTGATATTTCTCTGAGTCTGAATCTTTAATAGTGGGATATTAATGGAATGCCCATTAGTGTCTGAGTGTGTGTTTTTGTGGGAGGAAAACTAGTTACAGAGGGTATAATTATGTTCTCTTATCAGCTTATTTTTAAATAAACACTCTAGAGAAGTGAGATGGTTTTTTTCCCCAGTGCCAAACAACAGCACCTGAAAAGTGTGGCTGATTGTTAGATAATTACAGTAATCGAGCCCAAGCCAGGCTATATAGCAGGTACTGGTAGCCGTTTTCCCAACCTAGGGAACCCCCAGACAGTCCACATTTTTGCTCCCTCCCAACTCCCTGCCAGACAATCTACATTTCTGCAATGAGCTGGGAGGGAGCAAAAACATGGACTGTCTGGGAGACCGGGTTGGGAAACCCTGGTTTAGAGCCCTGATACAGATCCAGCTTGAGCTGTGGCTCTTCATACTGCTTGCAGATAACTAGAGCCCTTGTAGCTTGTGTGGGAAATAATCTGTCTAATGGGCACTGGGGGTGTGGAGCACGATGCCCAGCCAAACATGCGTCAAAATGCAGAAGCGGGTGCAGCAGGGTGAACCGGCTGAAAGGGAGGAGGTTTAAAAAGCCATTTCACTCCTCCTTGATGTCATGAAATGCTGCTTGATGGAAGGGAATAACAGCCGATCCAGATGTTACAGGTAAGCGTCGATGGTTCACCAAACATCAGAAATGAAACGTCCAATTAAAATAATATGTCAGAAGTGTAAAGACCAGACAAGTTTGCCAATTAAGCGTAGGTTTCTTCACTCCCACCTTCAGAATTTTTGCGATATTACCAGGTTACTTTGAATAGCATATTAAAAATTAATAATGATCTATTATTACAATAATGATACAATCATGCAATAATAACACAGAGAACAAAATATAATGAGATACTGCATGTTTGCTCAGAACCCAGAAGGTGAATGATGCCAGTGGTCTCTAGGGATGGAGTCCAACGGGTTTTTCTCACAAATGGACGGGTCAGATTGAGCTGGGAGGGGCCTGATGTAAAGCCCCCCCCCGACGGAGGCACCAGGGAGCATCTTCTGTGCTCAAGCTTCTCATCACTAACGTCTGCCGTCCTGCCGAGGAACCGCATCTGACTCCATCCTGTCTCAGCGAGTAGCCAGCAGAGAGCGCGGTGAGCGAAGCCTTCAGCTGTATCGTTCTCTGAGGTGACACATGGGCTGGCGCCCGCGCGGAGCAGCAGATATGACTGCAGCCGTCTTATGCATCCAGACATTTTGATCCTAATCATTATTTTGAACAATTGACGGCGCGTGACTTTTACAATGTATATTTAAGTGATACTGTTCAGTTTTGTGTGTGCTTTTCCACAACGCTTATGGCTTGCAAGCAATTCCTACAGATGTGAATGATTTAAGGAGCTACACAAACTTAGAAGTAGTACTGGGACTGTGAAATGCCCAAGGTCTCTAGAATAATATATGACCAATTTGTTTTGATGATTTTTATAAAAAATAACTATCTTCTTCTAGCAGAATATGTCAGGCTGGCATGTAATGGGCAGGGACCTGGGCAGAGCAGACCTGTAGTAGGTCTGTAACTATAATACTTATCCCAAAACGCGAAGGTGCACTTGTACAATGTTATACGGCTTAATTTTTTGTTTCCTTCCATTGGGAATATTAAACTCCTAATAAGGGAAACTGTTCAATTAAGAATATGAACTCCAGTATCTCCTCCTCCTCTTTTGAAAGAGAATGACAACCAGAAATGTAAAGATTTCCAGGAAGTGACTCTGCTTTATTTGAACAGGAAATCATTAATCTTCTGGTAACTTTGGCTGCAGTTGTTTTTCCCAGCTTAAAATATGTGACACCCTAAAATCTTTCCATTATTTTGAAACAAATTGCTTAATTTATTTATTCTCTTTACTTTACAAAGCCTGTCTAAAACATAGATTTCATAACAATGGTTAAAAATAGAAATTGCACATTTTTTTTCTGTGTTTAATGTTGTAATGCCTTAAAATTATACATTTTTCTGTTAATTATATATTAGGGAATTTTCTACCAGAGTTTAAAAAACGTATTATTTAGATGTGATTATGGTGTCGAAATACTTTCAATTAAATGCGATATTGAACTAAAAGGAAAAAAGACTAAAGATTTTTTTTATTCCTTACAGGAAATGACTTCGAGGCTGGCCGTCTCTCTTGCCGTCTTCTTCCTGCTTGCGAGCATAGCTGTCATCATTACTGTGGCAGTCATCCAGGTTCACAAAACAAATTTTTTGTCACCAGGCCTTAAGGTAGGGCTTCTCCTGAAAGAGCGATCAGTTTCACCACATTTATT